TCAAATGGCTGCAAGAATGCAACCAGAGAGACAGAGAAAATGATTGCTTTTATCAGCCTTTTATGGGGTGTAAAAGCAATCAGTGTAAATAAAAAAAAAAAAAAAAAAAAAATCAAAAATCAACACCCCACAAGTAGTACAGTGTCACCATGGTGACACTGTACTGTAAGGGGTGACCCAGTATATAAAAATATTTTTAAAAATTATAATTTTTTGGTTATAAACTAAATTTGGTTTTTTTTTTTTTACTAAAAGAGATAACTGAATAAATTTTTGGCCAAGATTTATGATGAAAGAAAAACACTTTTTTTTTTTTTTTAATTTTTGGGACATTTTCATTTATATAGCAAAAAAAAAAAAAATCCCAGCGGTGAATAAATACCAACCAAAATAAAGTTTTATCTGTCTCAAAAAAATGCTAAAAAATTCATATGGGTCCAGTGTTGCACAACCGCCACAATTGTCATTCAAAGTGCGATAGCGCTGAAAGCTGAAAATTGGCCTGGGGGGGGGGGGGGAAGCGTCTGGACTGGAAAGGGGGGGGGGGGGGGGGGGAAAAGCGTCCAGACTGGAAAGAAAAAGGGGGGGGGGGAAAGCGTCTGGACTGGAAAGGGGGGGGGGGGGGGGGGGAAAGCGTCCGGACTGGAAGGGGGGGGGGGGGGAAAAGCGTCCGGACTGGAAGGGGGGGGGGGAGAAGCGTCCGCGACTGGAAGGGGGGGGGGGAAAGCGTCCGGACTGTGAAGGGTGGGGGGGGGCCAAAGCGTCCGGACTGGAAGGGGGGGGGGGGGAAAGCGTCCGGGACTGGAAGGGGGGGGGGGAAAGCGTCCGGACTGGAAGGGGGGGGGGGGAAAGCGTCCGGACTGGAAATGGGGGGGGGGGAAGCGCCCGGACTGGAAAGGGGGGGAAAGCGCCCGGACTGGAAAGGGGGGGAAAGCGCCCCCGGACTGGAAGGGGGGAAAAGCGTCTGGACTGGAAGGGGGGGGAAGCGTCCGGACTGGAAGGGGGGAAGGGCGGGAAAGTGTCCGGACTGGAAGGGGGGGGGGGGGGGGGGGGGTAGCGTCCGGACTGGAAGTGGTTAAAGGCCCCCAAAATTCATATTTACATAAACAATGCCCGCACGTGTTACTTGGTTGTTTGATATCAATGACAACAAATGTACAAACTTGTATTTATTTCTGTCGCTGGGAAATGTACACGGCTTTAAATTTTCAATATAAACAAAACTATTCTCTCCACCTTTAGAGAAACCGATTGTCAGATATTAGAAATGGACTTCGGCCTTAACCCCGATCCCTCCAGCGGGGCTGCAGGATTCTGAGTTTGCTGAGACTTGTGGTTCCTCCAACAGCAGGAAAAGCGGCGGACTGTTCAGTGGGGAGTTATAGTGCTGATCATGTCAGAGTTTCTCAAATGGAAACAAATGCTTCTCCTCCCCCTTCTTCTCCCTCTTGGTCTTCCTCTTCGCTTTCCCTTCCCGCAGTTCCTCGGCCTGGCGGTTTTTGAGGCCAAGAGATGGCGGTGTCCTGAGCTGGGGTCTCGGATGCTGGTTCTTCCTCCTCGTCAGATGAGAATCCTTCCCCAGATGCTGCGTGTGGATGATCTGCATCCTGTTATAAGACAATGACCAAAGTGACAGGCGGGATGGGGAGGGAAAGGCATCGTGTTCACTGCAGCCTGGAGGTTAGGACCGGTGATGGACAGTTCAGTAATAAATGGAAGCAGAGTAAACTAGACCTACGATGTCTGACCGTACACATTGCCACTTACACCGCCCGCGGGGGGCTGCTGTAGGAAACGCGACATACGGGTACGTCACTGCCTACCACGTGGTGCACGTACACAGCAGGAGCCTGTCAGTCACAGCCAATGACTCATGGATGGGACCTGCTCATCGGCTGTATCCAATCACAGCCCAGAGCTCTGTGTTGGTGAACAACACAGAGCTCTGTATGAAGGGAGCAATCTATCAGTCTCTCATCTCTGCAAAGCACTGCCAAATGCTCCCTGTGCTCATCATTCTCCCCCAACACCCCACCACTGCCTGCAGCCCCCTGGCTCCCAGCAATGCCCCCCTCACCCATTCTCATCATTGTGCACCCCCCCTTCCCATTCTCCGCATTCTGCCAAATAACTCCCCACCCTTTCTCAGCACTGACCCCTCCCCCTCCCCCCAATTGTGCCAAATGACCCCCCCCCCTGCCACCCATTCTCGGCACTGTCCCCCCTCTCCCCATTCTCAGCACTCTGCTAAATGACACCCCTGACACCTATTCTCAGCACTCTGCTAAATATCCCCCCACCTATTCTCAGCACTGCCCCCCATCACCATTCTCAGTACTCTGCCAAATGATCCCCGCCCCCCCACCCATTCTCAGCACTCTGCCAAATGATCCCCCCCCCCCCCCCCACCCAGTCTCAGCACCCTGCCAAATGATCCCCACCCCCCCCATCCATTCTCAACACTCTGCAAATGATCCCCACCCCCCCACCCATTCTCAGCACCCTGCCAAATGATACCCCCCCCCCCCCCACCCATTCTCAGCACTGCCCCCCATCACCATTCTCAGTACTCTGCCAAATGATCCCCGCCCCCCCCCACCCATTCTCAGCACTCTGCCAAATGATCCCCACCCATTCTCAGCACCCTGCCAAATGATCCCCACCCCCCCACCCATTCTCAGCACCCTGCCAAATGATCCCCACCCCCCATCCATTCTCAACACTCTGCAAATGATCCCCACCCATTCTCAGCACTGCCCCCCATCACCATTCTCAGTACTCTGCCAAATGATCCCCACCCATTCTCAGCACTGTCCCCCCCTGCTCCCTTTTCTCAGCACTGTGCCAAATGATCCCCACCCCCATTCTCAGCACTGTGCCAAATGATCCCCACCCCCATTCTCAGCACTCTGCCAAATGATCCCCCTGCCACCCATTCTCAGCACTGTCTCCCCATCCTCAGGCCCAATGCACCACTCTGCCAGACCCCCACCCCCCTGCTCTCAGCACGTTGCCAAATGCACCCCCCAACACACACACTTTTGATAATAGCGTAAGTCATCTACTGCCTAAAACTCTTGAAAAATCAGCAAGAAAACTCCACTGCTATTGCGTTCCACCAGTTCCTGCTCACCGAGATGTTCATATCCCTCCATATTGAACAATATTTTACAGATCTAATAGGGAGAGAGAGAAAAACTCTAAAATCTCTCTATACACATAAGGCCAAAGAATTGCTCCTGGCACCCATTCCATCCATTCCATCACTCACCTTCTTGCCATAGCGTGCTTTTAATCTCTCCCGGATCAGAAGTCCCTTTTTGATCAGCAGCTTCCAGTTCCCAAAAGCTCGCTTTTCCCGCTTCTGCAGCACAAAAAACAGGTCATGTGGTTTTATGGCCGACTCGGCCCTAGAAATATCACCACCATTGTGTGCCAGTTGGCGGACTATTCATATTAGCAGCAGGAGAGCTGCTGGGGAACCCAGGCAGTGGAGGGGAACCAATGCTGGCCTACGGAGATGGATCTGTTTTACGGCAAAGACCCCGCTCATCGACTCACCTCCTTCTGCTTGCGCTCGATCTCAACTTGTTCGTTCTCCCAGGCGACCAGCAGGATGTCCTTGTGCTCCTCGCACGCTATGTAACCGTCCGTCCTGGAGAACAACAAAGCTCACATGACACGAGGGCAATACGACAGCTTGATGAGAGCCGCCACACACATTACAATCTTCTACTACAAGACAATTTCTTATGTTTTTGATTGTAAGACACTTTCATGCAGGGTTGTCACACAGAGCAGGAAAAAAGTTAGGTAAAGGTGACCCTCCCTCCTCCCCCAGCTACAATCACTAACTATGCTGCAGGAATTTGGTGCAAATCCCAGCTACGATCGCTAGGTACACAGCGGGAATTTGGTACAAACCCCGGCTACAATCGCTGCAGGAATTTGTTACAAACCCCGGCTACGATCGCTAGGTACGCTGCAGGAATTTGGTACAAACCCCGGCTACGATCGCTAGGTACGCTGCAGGAATTTGGTACAAACCCCGGCTACGATCGCCAGGTACGCTGCAGGAATTTGGTACAAACCCCAGCTACGATCGCTAGGTACGCTGCAGGAATTTGGTACAAACCCCAGATACAATCGCTAGGTACGCAGCGGGAATTTAGTACAAACCCCGGCTACGATCGCTAGGTACGCAGCGAGAATTTGGTACAAACCCCGGCTACGATCGCTAGGTACGCTGCAGGAATTTGGTGCAAACCCCGGCTACGATCGCTAGGTACGCTGCAGGAATTTGGTACAAACCCCAGCTACGATCGCCAGGTACGCTGCAGGAATTTGTTAAAAAACCCCGGCTGCGATCGCTAGGTACGCAGCGGGAATTTGGTACAAACACCAGCTACGATCGCTAGGTACGCTGCAAGAATTTGGTACAAACCCCAGCTACAATCGCTGCAGGAATTTGGTACAAACCCCGGCTACGATCGCTAGGTACGCTGCAAGAATCTGGTACAAACCCCAGCTACAATCGCTGCAGGAATTTGGTACCAACCCCGGCTACGATCGCTAGGTACGCTGCAGGAATTTGGTACAAACCCCGGCTACGATCGCTAGGTACGCTGCAGGAATTTGGTACAAACCCCGGCTACGATCGCTAGGTACGCTGCAGGAATTTGGTACAAACCCCAGCTACAATTGCTAGGTATGCTGCAGGAATTTGGTACAAACCCCGGCTACGATCGCTAGGTACGCTGCAGGAATTTGGTACAAACCCCGGCTACGATCGCTAGGTACGCTGCAGGAATTTGGTACAAACACCAGCTACGATCGCTGCAGGAATTTGGTACCAACCCCGGCTACGATCGCTAGGTATGCTGCAGGAATTTGGTACCAACCCCGGCTACGATTGCTGCAGGAATTTGGTACAAACCCCGGCTACGATCGCTAGGTACGCTGCAGGAATTTGGTGCAAAACCGGGCTACGATCGCTAGGTACGCTGCAAGAATTTGGTACAAACCCCAGCTACGATCGCTAGGTACGCTGCAGGAATTTGGTACAAACCCCAGCTACGATCGCTAGGTACGCTGCAGGAATTTGGTACAAACCCAGCTACGATCGCTAGGTACGCTGCAAGAATTTGGTACAAACCCCAGCTACGATTGCTAGGTACGCTGCAGGAATTTGGTACAAACCCCGGCTACGATCGCTAGGTACGCTGCAAGAATTTGGTACAAACCCCAGATACAATCGCTAGGTACGCAGCGAGAATTTGGTACAAACCCCGGCTACGATCGCTAGGTACGCAGCGAGAATTCTTGGTACAAACCCCGGCTACGATCGCTAGGTACGCTGCAGGAATTTGGTGCAAACCCCCGGCTACGATCGCTAGGTACGCTGCAGGAATTTGGTACAAACCCCAGCTACGATCGCCAGGTACGCTGCAGGAATTTGTTAAAAACCCCGGCTGCGATCGCTAGGTACGCAGCGGGAATTTGGTACAAACACCAGCTACGATCGCTAGGTACGCTGCAAGAATTTGGTACAAACCCCAGCTACAATCGCTGCAGGAATTTGGTACAAACCCCGGCTACGATCGCTAGGTACGCTGCAGGAATTTGGTACAAACCCCGGCTACGATCGCTAGGTACGCTGCAGGAATTTGGTACAAACCCCGGCTACGATCGCTAGGTACGCTGCAGGAATTTGGTACAAACCCCAGCTACAATTGCTAGGTATGCTGCAGGAATTTGGTACAAACCCCGGCTACGATCGCTAGGTACGCTGCAGGAATTTGGTACAAACCCCGGCTACGATCGCTAGGTACGCTGCAGGAATTTGGTACAAACACCAGCTACGATCGCTGCAGGAATTTGGTACCAACCCCGGCTACGATCGCTAGGTACGCTGCAGGAATTTGGTACCAACCCCGGCTACGATTGCTGCAGGAATTTGGTACAAACCCCGGCTACGATCGCTAGGTACGCTGCAGGAATTTGGTGCAAAACCGGGCTACGATCGCTAGGTACGCTGCAAGAATTTGGTACAAACCCCAGCTACGATTGCTAGGTACGCTGCAGGAATTTGGTACAAACCCCAGATACAATCGCTAGGTACGCAGCGAGAATTTGGTACAAAACCCCGGCTACGATCGCCAGGTACGCTGCAGGAATTTGGTACCAACCCCGGCTACGATCGCCAGGTACGCTGCAGGAATTTGGTACCAACCCCGGCTACGATCGCTAGGTACGCTGCAGGAATTTGGTACCAACCCCGGCTACGATCGCTAGGTACGCTGCAGGAATTTGGTACCAACCCCGGCTACGATCGCTAGGTACGCAGCGAGAATTTGGTACAAACCCCGGCTACGATCGCTAGGTACGCTGCAGGAATTTGGTACAAACCCCGGCTACGATCGCTAGGTACGCTGCAGGAATTTGGTACCAACCCCGGCTACGATTGCTGCAGGAATTTGGTACAAACCCCGGCTACAATGACAGCGGGCCCTTCAGCCTTACACAGGGTGCGAGTAGCCACCGTGGAAGTCGAATCCGGTGATGGCCTGGACGCAGTCGATGTCCAGCTTCCTGGCCACGCGGTGCAGGTTAGGCACTTGCAGCTGGACGCAGCCGATCGGCAACATGCACGGCTTGAACAGGTAAACGTTTCCAAACTCGTTGCGGGGAACCTGCAATAAAAACGAAGAGCGGAGAGCATTTCAGGGAAGTCGGACAAGACGATCGACAGTCTCCTTCAGTGGGACCCGGGACACAGCGACTCACCTTCCCGTCCACAGCGACAGGTGGCTGATACTCCTCCGTCTGCCAGGGGCCAAACAGGGCAAGGTCATTGCTGTCCCTCTTCTCTGGATCTGCCATACGGGCTTTCCTCGCTCGGTTGGAGTGTCCTTTCACCATCTGTGCAGCAACGACAATCAGAGAAACGCTGACACCCAGCAATGGACTTTGGCCGCACAAGGAGGACTTCGTTTATATATGCAAGTTAAAGTGGAACTCCAGATAAACGTCACAAATAAACACACAGATGACATACATCGATGGGTGCTGCTTTACCAGCCAAAGAATTTGAATTTATATTCATCCAGCCCCGAGATTTACACAGCTATGTCACACAGTACTGGCACGGCAGAAGACATGATTTTTTTTCTCAGCTGCAGTTAACCACTTAACATCCCCCCTATAGCAGTTTTACTGCTGGAGGGCGGCATTCCTGTGCAAAATCATGTATGTCCAGTATCTCCCAGCAGTGAGTCCACCCCTCCCCCCACACACACATACATATATATATATATACATACATACACACAGTATCTCCCAGAAGAAAGTCCACCCCTCCCCCACACACACATACATATATACATACACACAGTATCTCCCAGAAGAAAGTCCACCCCTCCCCCACACATACATACATATATACATACACACAGTATCTCCCAGAAGAAAGAAGTCCACCCCTCCCCCACACACACACTGTATGTATATGTATATATATATATATATATATATATTACACAGTATGTCCCAGAAGTGAGCCCACCCCCCACATTTGTGTCAATATTTGATTCTCTCTTTTCATGTGACAACACTGAAGAAATGACACTTTTCTACAATGTGACGTAGTCAGTGTACAGCTTGTATAACATGTAAATTTCCTGTCCCCTCAAAAATAACAACACGCCGCCATTAATGTCTAAACCGCTGGTAACAAAAGTGATTCCACCTCTAAGTGACAAGGTCCAAACTGGGCCCAAAGTATCAATATTTTGAGTGACCGCCATTATTTTCCAGCACTGCCTTAACCCTCTTGGGTATGGAGTTCACCAGAGCTTCACAGGTTGCCACTGGAGTCCTCTTCCACTCCTCCATGATGACATCACGGAGCTGGTGGGTGTTAGAGACTTTCAGAAATTGACCCCTGTATGGGCGGCTTTAGACAGCTTCTATTTTATGATTTCTTGATTCAACAGGTCTGGCAGTAATCAGGCTTGGGTGTGGCAAGTGAAATTTTCCTCAGCTCTCCAAAAAATGTGGTTGAGCACAGTTTAGTAGCAAAAGGATAAGAGTTGGGCAATCATTTTTATTTCACATAGGGCCAGGCAGGTTTGGACAGCCCTTAATAAATCATCATTTAAAAACTGCATTTTATATTTACTCGGGTTATCTTTATTATTAAAGTTTGTCTGATGATCTGTATCAATTAAGTGTCACAAATATGCTATATATACATACATACAGTATCTCCCAGAAGTGAGTCCACCCCTCACATCTTGGTAAATATTTGATTCTATCTTTTCATGTGACAACACTGAAGAAATGACACTTTGCTACAATGTGATGTAGTCAGTGCACAGCTTGTATAACATGGAAATTTTCTGTCCCCTCAAATACCTCAACACACCACCATTAACGTCTAAACCGCTGGCAACAAAAGTGAGTCCACCCCTAAGTGACAAGGTCCAAATTGGGCCCAATTAGCCATTTTCCCTCCCCGGTGTCATGTGACTCATTAGGTGTTACAAGGTCTCAGGTGTGAATGGGGAGCAGGGGGGTTACATTTGGTGTTATCGCTCTCACTCGCTCATACTGGTCACTGGAAGTTCAACATGGCAGCTCATGGCACAGAACTCTCTGAGGATCTGAAAAAAAGAATTGTTGCTCTACATAAAGATGGTCAGGAAGGGGGGTAAATCTTCTGGAGGGCGAGTGGTTAAAGTATAACTACAGACCGGATATAGTGAGTGTGGGGTCCGGGGAGAGCGGATATAGTGAATGCGGGTCCGGGGAGAGCGGATATAGTGAATGCGGGGTCCGGGGAGAGCGGATATAGTGAATGCGGGGTCCGGGGAGAGCGGGATATAGTGAATGCGGGGTCTGGGTTCAGTAGAGCGGATATAGTAAATGCGGGGTTCCGGGGAGAGCAATATAGTGAATGCGGGGTCCGGGGGAGAGCAATATAGTGAATGCGGGGTCCGGGGAGAGCGGATATAGTGAATGCGGGGTCCGGGGAGAGCGTATATAGTGAATGCGGGGTCCGGGGGGAGAGCAGATATATTGAATGCAGGGTCCGGGGAGAGCGTATATATAGTGAATGCGGGGTCCGGGGAGAGCAATATAGTGAATGCGGGGTCCGGGGAGAGAGCGGATATAGTGAATGCGGGGTCCGGGGAGAGCGGATATAGTGAATGCGAGGTCCGGGGAGAGCGGATATATTGAATGCAGGGTCCAGGGAGAGCAGATATAGTGAATGAGGGATCCAGGGAAACAAAATATAGTGAATGCAGGGTCCGGGGAGAGCGGATATATTGAATGCAGGGTCCAGGGAGAGCAGATATATAGTGAATGAGGGATCCAGGGAAACAAAATATAGTGAATGCAGGGTCCGGGGAGAGCGGATATAGTGAATGCAGGGGTTCCAGGGAGACAAAATATAGTGAATGCGGGGTCCGGGGAGAGCGGATATAGTGAATGCGGGGTCCGGGGAGAGCGGATATAGTGAATGCGGGGTCCGGGGAGAGTGAAATGATCCGGAGATATTGTGAATGCGGGGTGCGGGGTACCGGGGAGAGCGGATATAGTGAATGCGGGGTCCGGGGAGGGAGGATATAGGGAATGCAGGGGTCCGGGGAGAGAGAGCGGGGTCCGGGGATATATAGTGAATGCGGGGTCCGGGGAGAGAGGATATAGTGAATGTAGGGTCGGGGGAGAAGCGGATTATTAGTGAAAGCTCAGGTCCGGGGAGAGCGGGGATAGAGAGGATATAGTGAATGCGGGGTCCGGGGAGAGCGGATATAGTGATAGCTGGGTCCGAAGAGAGCGGGGTCCGGGGAGAGCGGATATAGTGAATGCGGGGAGAGCGGATCCGGGGGTCCGGGGAGAGCGGATATAGTGAATGCGGGGTCCGGGGAGAGCGGATATAGTGAATGCGAGGGTTCGGGGAGAGCGGATATAGTGAATGCGGGGTCCGGGGAGAGCGGATATAGTGAATGCGGGGTCCGGGGAGACCATATAGTGAATATAGTGAATGCGAGGATATTAGTGAATGCGGGGGAGAGAGCGGATATAGTGAATGCAGGGTCCGGGGAGACCGGATATAGTGAAGGCGGGGTCCGGGGAGAGCAGATATAGTGAATGCGGGGTCCGGGGAGAGATATAGTGATATAGTGAATGCGGGGTCCGGGGAGAGACCGGATATAGTGAATGCAGGGTTCCGGGAGAGCGGATATAGTGAATGCGGGGTCCGGGGAGAGCGGATATAGTGAATGCGGGGTCCGGGGAGAGCGGATATAGTGAATACGGGGTCCGGGGGAATGAGAGCGGATATAGTGGGGGTCCCGGGAGGAGTGGATATAGTGAATGCGGGGTCCGGGGGAGAGCCGGATATAGTGAATGCGGGGTCCGGGGAGAGCGGATATAGTGAATGCAGGGTCGGGGGAGAGCGGATATAGTGAATGCGGGTCCCGGGTGAGAGAGGATATAAGGGAATTTCGGGGTCAGGTGAGAGCGGATATAGGGAATGCGGGGTCGGGGAGAGAGCAGATATAGTGAATGCGGGGTCCGGGAGAGAGCCGATATAGTGAATGCAGGGTCGTCGGGAGAGCGAGGATATAGGGAATGCGGGGTCCGGGAGAGAGGATATATAGTGAATGCGGGGGTCCGGGGTGAGAGCCGTGATATAGTGAACGCAGGGTCCGGGGTGGGAGACCGGATATAGTGAAAACGCAGGGTCCGGGGAGAGGTTCCGGGAGATATAGTGAATGCGGGTTCCGGGGAGAGCAGATATAGTGAATGCGGGGTCCGGTAGAGACCGGATATAGTGAATGCGGGGTCCGGAGAGACCGGATATAGTGAATGCGGGGTCCGGATATAGTGAATGCGGGGTCCGGATATAGTGAATGCGGGGTCCGGGGAGACCGGATATAGTGAATGCAGGGTCTGGGGAGACCGGATATAGTGAATGCGGGGTCCGAGGAGAGCGGATATAGTAAATGCAGGGTCTGGGGAGACCGGATATAGTGAATGCGGGGTCTGGGGAGACCGGATATAGTGAACGCGGGGTCCGGGGAGACCGGATATAGTGAATGCGGGGTCCGAGGAGAGCGGATATAGTAAATGCGGGGTCCGGGGAGACCGGATATAGTGAATGCAGGGTCTGGGGAGACCGGATATAGTGAATGCGGGGTCTGGGGAGACCGGGATATAGTGAATGCGGGGTATAGTCCGGGGGAGACCGGATATAGTGAATGCGGGGTCTGGGGAGACTGGATATAGTGAATGCGGGGTCCGGGGAGAGCGGATATAGTGAATGCGGGGTCCGGGGAGAGCGGATATAGTGAATGCGGGGTCCGGGGAGTAGAGCGGATATAGTGAATGCGGGGTCCGGGGAGATCAGATATAGTGAATGCGGGGTCCGGGGAGACCAGATATAGTGAATGCGGGGTCCGGGGAGACCAGATATAGTGAATGCGGGGGTCCGGGGAGAGCGGATATAGTGAACGCAGGGTCCGGGTAGGTGGGGAAGGATTAAAAGCCCTGTCATGTTTCTATTGCCTTCATTAATTCATACTCTATTGATTTATTGCTGTCAAGAGATAAAAAAAAAAGTGACAGGATGCTGAAAATCTTACGGTTGTCACCAGAACGGGATTAGAAAGGAAATCTTCCAACTGGAGTCACCTGTTTCGATGACCTCTCAGAGGTAGGATTCCTTCTTAAGTGTCTTGCACTCAGTACTGATGTTTGAGAATCTGTTTTTGTTTTACACTTGTTTTGCACTTATTTGCGCACACAACATATTCTTAAGGAAAATGAATTAATATTTATGCTCATATGCACATATCTACGCGTATTCGTGCAAGCAACGTGACCAAATACGCCGATTTTCCTTTTTTTTTTTTTTATGCGGCGTTCATTTACGTGCCTGTGTGAAAAGGTACATTGGAAATAATGGGCTAAATTTTACTTTAATAAATAAAAAAAAAAACGCTGTACTGAGCTTTTTGAGGCTGCAGTGTGCAAGAGGCCTTAATGTGGAGAGATGATTTCTGTGGTCTCTGGAAGGGGAAGTGAAAAATTCCTGATTGGGACCAAGATAGCAATAAAAACAGGTTCTAACCCTTCAAGACTTTAGAAAGCATAAAAAAAAAACAAAACAAAAAAAAAAAAAAAAAAAAAAAAATGCTGTGGCTGAAACTTCAGCTTAGAATTCCCTTGCTGCATCCCACAACTGCTCACTGGACAGGTGACACGGGTATCTAAAAAAACTGCAATAGCGAACAGCGGTGTCACCCCTCTGGCAATGGTGAGTATCACAGGGCTGAAAAGACTTCTGGCAAGGGCAACAAATCCTGTTAAGCCTTTCAATTGTGTATGTAGCTAAATCAGCGCCTTAGCTGAAGCTGTGGGCACCCAAGAGATGCTGGTTACCTTGTAAGGCACCTCTCCCAGCCGCACCACCCGGGCGTCCTTCAGCCAAGTGTCTCTGGAGTGCAGCGTCTGAACACACGACCTGAAAGACAGATCACAATCGAGATTCACATCAACAGTAGGAAATCTTCTGCCCACATCATGTATTACTACTTCCAGGAATGAGGCAAATACGCTACGTGGCCAATAGTATGTGCATGTCCTGGGATGTAAAACACAACAGAAATACGCGAGCGCTAAAAGTCACTATAGCAGCTACAGGAGATGACCAGAGACTGCGGACATAGTACAGGAGATGACCAGAGACTGCGGACACAGTACAGGAGATGACCAGAGACTGCAGACATAGTACAGGGGATGACCAGAGACCGCGGACACGGTACAGGAGATGACCAGAGACTGCGGACACAGCACAGGAGATGACCAGAGACTGCGGACATAGTACAGGAGATGACCAGAGACTGCAGACACAGTACAGGAGATGACCAGAGACTGCGGACACGGTACAGGAGATGACCAGAGACTGCGGACATAGTACAGGAGATGACCAGAGACTGCAGACACAGTACAGGAGATGACCAGAGACTGCGGACATAGTACAGGAGATGACCAGAGACTGCGGACATAGTACAGGAGATGACCAGAGACTGCAGACACAGTACAGGAGATGACCAGAGACTGCAGACACAGTACAGGAGATGACCAGAGACTGCGGACATAGTACAGGGGATGACCAGAGACTGCAGACACAGTACAGGAGATGACCAGAGACTGCGGACATAGTACAGGGGATGACCAGAGACTGCGGACACAGTACAGGAGATGACCAGAGACTGCAGACAGTACAGGAGATGACCAGAGACTGCGGACATAGTACAGGAGATGACCAGAGACTGCGGACATAGTACAGGGGATGACCAAGACTGCAGACACAGTACAGGAGATGACCAGAGACTGCAGACAGTACAGGAGATGACCAGAGACTGCGGACATAGTACAGGAGATGACCAGAGACTGCGGACACAGTACAGGAGATGACCAGAGACTGCAGACAGTATAGGAGATGACCAGAGACTGCGGACATAGTACAAGAGATGACCAGAGACTGCGGACACAGTACAGGAGATGACCAGAGACTGCAGACAGTACAGGAGATGACCAGAGACTGCGGACATAGTACAGGAGATGACCAGAGACTGCGGACACAGTACAGGAGATGACCAGAGACTGCAGACAGTACAGGAGATGACCAGAGACTGCGGACATAGTACAGGAGATGACCAGAGACTGCGGACACAGTACAGGAGATGACCAGAGACTGCAGACAGTGCAGGAGATGACCAGAGACTGCGGACACAGTACAGGAGATGACCAGAGACTGCAGACAGTGCAGGGCACGACCAGACACTGCGGACCTTTAGGGAGGGAGGGGAAGCGGGTACCTGAATTTGACAGGTACCCGCTCCCACTTCTGCGGAGTTGTCCTCCCTTTACTGTGGGCACCCGACTTTGATAGCCAGGTGCCCACTGTGCATGTGCGAGAAGCGGTGCGCTTTGTGAATGGCCCGGTGTCTTTTGGGACCTGTGATGGGTCCCACAAGAGACGCCGGACCATTCACAAAGCGCAGCGCTTCTCGCACATGCGCAGTGGGCACCCAGCTGTCACAGATGCCGGCGCGGGAAGACTACAGCGCTGGCCTGAGGAACAGGTGAGTTCCTGCCGCAAAGAATAGCTGAGCGGCCGGCCCGGTATTCTGACATGGTGGCGGCGGATATACCGGACCGGCCGCTTTATATTCGCTCCATAAGACGCACTGACATTTTCCCCTCCTTTTTTTGGGGGGAAAAAAGTGCGTCTTATGGAGCGAAAAATACGGTATATAAGGTGCATGGAAGATCTCAAGGATTTCCAACAACTGGTATTCAGTAAGTGATAGTGTATCCAAACTATAAAGATTGCGCACTCACCAGATGCGCAATCAGTAAGCGCATTTAAGAGATAACACTCTTAGTGGAACCGTTGGAAGCTCCTCTGGAATATGGTCTGGACTGCTCAATCAGCTGTCTGTCATGGCTCTAACCATCTCTCACGTGGCTCTGCGGGTGGTGGGAAGCTCACATAGAGCCTGTCCTCTCTCTTCCATTACAACTCCCCTCCTGCTTCACACCGGCCACCTTTGCAATCCTCGCCTGTGTCGGGGGTTTTGCTGACGGCAACGGCACGTACTCATGCGTCACTGGCTCCTAAGTGGCTGGAAATACAGGGTGATGACGTGTCGTTGAGGCGCTCCTATGACAACCCGGAAGTGGGTAGAGACCACCTGAGGCGATGGGAGTGTGGTGCCCGTTTACTGAAGACAGTCGTCTGACCTTCAATTATAATGTCCTGGGATGTGCAAATCAGATCGCCCGACTCCGGGGACATGCAGTTCCAGGCACGTGTTTTGTTTTTTTTACATTTAGCCCTGCTGCGGGGAAGCAGCAAGGTGACTTTATGCAGTGCAATTTTCATGTCTTCGTAGAAAGAGTGGAGGATTTTAGAGCTGCAAACGGGGCCGCCATCAGCGGGGGGGGGGGGCAGCCCAAACATATGTAAGGGGCCCGGGCAGCTGGCCCCAACCAACCAGTTGTTGCCTGGTTCCACCACAGTGTGGGGGCCCTCCACCCATTGGTTCTTATAGTTTTGAGTGCCGTATGCACACAGCAGACCGTTCGCAGCCACAGGGAGACAGAGGCCGCCGTGTCGGGAGGTGGAAACCGGAGGAGAAAGTCAGAAATGCGCATGTTTTGGATCAAAGGCACAAAGCAGGTTTACAATCCAAACTTTTGAATTCATTGTATTCCACTATTTATTTTTAGGAACTTTTCAATGTATATTTTGATGTTCATTACAAGAAACAGATAAAGAGGAATAAACGAACAGAACAGGACACTATGTATGGAAATTTCATCTGATGAATACAGAAGTATTACAGCCTCACATTGCAAACGTATTGCCCATGCAGCTAAACTAAAGACGCCGAACGGCCCATTATTTTTTAATTCTTTGATTTTACAACATGATTGAATTATGTTCACCATGTCCATGTCTACCTTTTTCATGATCCATGAGATCAAAAATACTTTATTGCATTCACCAATGTAGTGATAAATGACTCCGCATAGGATTAATTACAAACCATCTTTGGGCAGATTTGCACAAGTCAACTGCCATTTTGTTTTCTGTGCAATCCAAACGCACACGTTCCGGCGTTAAAAATGGTGGTGTGTATAAGTGGGTGCTGCAGCGACCGTCGGCTGGAACCAAACAGAATCAGCGAGGGAGAATGTCACCAGCACACCGAGGATCACCAATACGGGTCCAAAAGTTTTAATCAACGATCACATAGTTACAGCAAGGCAACGTTTCGGAGTTTCATAGGACCCCTTCATCAGGCGTGGCGACATTTTCCCTTGCGGATCAAAGGCACAAGATGCTTCCTTGTATGAATTTTTAGAGGACGCTTGTTCCTTTGATCCAACACATGCTTATTTCTGCCTTAACCCCTCGCCTACCAGGCACTTATACCCCCCTCCCTGCCTACAGGGCACTTATACCCCCTCCCTGCCTACAGGGCAACTTATACCCCCTCCCTGCCTACAGGGCACTTATACCCCCTCCCTGCCTACAGGGCACTTATACCCCCTCCCTGCCTACAGGGCACTTCTACCCCCTCCCTGCCTACCGGGCACTTATACCCCCTCCCTGCCTACAGGGCACTTATACCCCCTCCCTGCCTACAGGGCACTTATACCCCTCCCTGCCTACAGGGCACTTATACCCCCTCCCTGCCTACAGGGCACTTATACCCCCTCCCTGCCTACAGAGCACTTCTACCCCCTTCCTGCCTACAGGGCACTTATACCCCCTCCCTGCCTACAGGGCACTTATACCCCCTCCCTGCCTACAGGGCACTTATACCCCCCCATCCCTGCCTACAGGGCACTTATAACCCCCTCCCTGCCTACAGGGCACTTATACCCCCTCCCTGCCTACAGGGCACTTATACCCCCTTCCTGCCTACAGAGCACTTCTACCCCCTCCCTGCCTACAGGGCACTTATACCCCCTCCCTGCCTACAGGGCACTTATACCCCCTTCCTGCCTACAGGGCACTTCTACCCCCCTCCCTGCCTACAGGGCACTTATACCCCCTTCCTGCCTACAGGGCACTTCTACCCCCCATCCCTGCCTACAGGGCACTTCTACCCCCTCCCTGCCTACAGGGCACTTCTACCCCCCCCTCCCTGCCTACAGGGCACTTCTACCCCCTCCCTGCCTACAGGGCGCTTATACCCCCTCCCTGCCTACAGGGCGCTTATACCCCCTCCCTGCCTACAGGACGCTTATACCCCCTTCCTGCCTACAGGACGCTTCTACCCCCTTCCTGCCTACAGGACGCTTCTACCCCCTTCCTGCCTACAGGACGCTTCTACCCCCTTCCTGCCTACAGGGCGCTTCTACCCCCTTCCTGCCTACAGGGCACTTCTACCCCCTTCCTGCCTACAGGGCACTTCTACCCCCTTCCTGCCTACAGGGCACTTCTACCCCCTTCCTGCCTACAGGGCACTTCTACCCCCTTCCTGCCTACAGGGCACTTCTACCCCCTTCCTGCCTACAGGGCACTTCTACCCCCTTCCTGCCTACAGGGCACTTCTACCCCCTTCCTGCCTACAGGGCACTTCTACCCCCTTCCTGCCTACAGGGCACTTATACCCCCTTCCTGCCTACAGGGCACTTCTACCCCCTTCCTGCCTACCGGCACTTATACAACCTTCCTGCCTACCGGGCACTTATACCCCCTTCCTGCCTACAGGGCACTTCTACCCCCTTCCTGCCTACCGGGCACTTATACCCCCTTCCTGCCTACCGGGCACTTATACCCCCTTCCTGCCTACAGGGCACTTATACCCCCTCCCTGCCTACAGGGCACTTATACCCCCTTCCTGCCTACAGGGCACTTCTACCCCCTTCCTGCCTACCAGGCACTTATACCCCCTTCCTGCCTACAGGGCACTTATACCCCCTTATTTACCAGGCCAATTTTCAGCTTTCAGCGCTGCCGCACTTTGATTGACAATTGCGCGGTCATGCAACATTGTACCCATATGAAATTTTGATCATTTTTTTCTCACAAATAGAGCTTTCTTTTGGTGGTATTTAATCGCCACTGGGCGCTTTACTTTTTGCGCTATAAATTAAAAAATGCAAAATGGTGATGGGTACTGATGATGGGTACTGATAGACGGCACTGACTGGCATCACTGCTGGGCACTGACTGGCGGCACTGACTGGCACAACAGCTGGGCACTGACTGGTGGCACTGACTGGCAGCACTGCTGCACTGGTGGGTGGCACTGGTGGGTGGGCACAGGTGGGTGGCACTGCTGGGCACAGGTAGGTGACACTGCAGAGTGGCACAGGTGGGTGCACTGCTGGGTGATCTGCTGGGCACAGGTGGGCGGAGCTAGTGGGCGCACTGCTGGGCACAGGTGGGCGGAACTTGCGGGTGTCACTGCTGGGCACCGATCATCAGGGCACTGATCATCAGTGCCCTGATGATCGGTGCCGATCCCCGCTCTGACAACTGCCGGTTCTCGGCAGTACTTTCCTCACGATCTGAAAGCGAGAACTGGCACTTGCATTTCCCTGTGATCAGCATGTCATTGGACACCGCTGATCACGTGGTAAAAGGCCGCTGTGATTGGCCTTTTACCACATCACGTGATCAGCTGCGTCCGTAGGACACAGCGATCACGGAGATCGCCGGGTGCGCGCCCCCTGGGGCGCGCAGGAGAGCGCGTTCTGGGAGGACGTCATATGACGTCCACCCAGAACTGGCCGGCCGCAGTGCAGCCGTCATTCGGCTATCTGCGGTCGGCTGCTAGTTAAAGAATGATATTGGTATTATAGCCCCAAAGGGTAAGCAGGGGTTCATATATATATATATGGACAATTAATGTGCTGGAAGTATAAAGTCTATGCACTGTAGTGTGATGTATATTCTAAAAAAAAAATGTGTGTATTTTTGATGAATGTTGTATTTTTTTGATACAATTTTAGACTGTATTGCGGATAGCGTTTCTCTTCCCCTGAAGAAGCCCAGGCTGGGCGAAACATGTCAGGAAGTATCATCTGTACACCGCAGGAGACAGTCAAGCGCTTTGTAATTGTTAAGTCTGCTGTAACCATTCATATTACATTTATTATATTGCAGCTTACCAATTCTTAAAATATGATGACTGCATTAGTTCTTTTTTAGGCTTTCTTTCCTTTCTGTTTTCACCTGGTGATCCAGCCAGGAAGTTGTTTTTTCAAAAGAACAAGCTCTCTTGCAGATGTATCAAGTACTGGCTTGAGACAAACACTGGCAGTGGTGCTTACAATGATCCGTTTTATTTATTTATGTAAAACCCAAAAGGTTTGCTGTAACTGCTTATAAAGTGTGAACTGAGCTTCTCCCATCCTATGGAACTCTCTACCCCAATCTGTCCAGCTGTCTCCTAATCTATCCACCTTTAGACGATCCCTGAAAACCTCTTTAAAGAAGTCTATCCTGCTTCTGCCTAGTAAACTGCCATTTATTTCCTCCATCAGCTCACCCCCCCCCCCCCCCCCCCCCCCTCACAGCTATTGCCTTTTGTATCACTCAACCCTTCCTCCTAGATTGTAAGCTCCCAGGAGCCGGGCCCTCTGCTTCCTCTTGTACCAAATTGTATTGTAACTGTACTGTCTGCCTTCATTTTGTACAGCGCTGCGCAAACTGTTGGCGCAATATAAATCCTGTATAATAATAATAATAAGTGAAGTTTGGCTTCAATTTGTTAGTGTATCTAAATCTGCTAATACATTTAACACCTCCCCTCCCTCCCCAGACTGACAATGCTGCTATCCAAGGATGTCCCTGTGCTCCTTCGTCCCAGAGTGAGGGCGCTCTAATACAGGAGGTGCTTTATTGGCCAGATCACCGGGTGAAAACAGAGGGGAAAAAAAGTGGTTAAACTGAAGGACTTGGACAGCCAGTGGGTGGATTTGGTTGGATGGCCAGTGGGCGGGCCCTGGGGAATGTTGGTGGTCAGGCCCAGGCCTAAGGCTGTGTATGGGGCCCCAAAATTTTTGATGGCCTTCCTGGCTGCAAAGAGGGCCAACTGCATATTAATGGCCCTGGTTGTGGAATGGGATGTCCAACAAGTTCATATACTGTAGGTGTGATGGTCAGGAGTGCACAACCTTGGGCCATATGGTATCTTTTTTTGTGCCTTTACAACAAAACAACAGTTCTAGGCTTTTGCCCACGAGACCTTTTTTTACGTTTTGGACTGGTTATTATGGACAACCAAGTTATTTTTTTTCATTTGCAATTAATTATCTCATCTGAAAAGTTTAGATTACAGTACAATCAACCTTTGTGTTCCTTACCTGGAATAGACGGCTTCCCCTCTGCAGTAGCCCAAGATGGCGGCAGATTCTGGGTAGATCGCCTCGTATTTCAGTAGATGTCTCTTCAAAGCATACAGAGGATGATTCTTATATTCTGTGATTGAGGTTGGCAGTGGTTGATCCAGTAATTTAGCTTCAAACTGCAGGTGCGACAGAAGAGATTGATTACATTACAGGTATACAGGTCAGATGTTACTTGTCTTCAACACCCCATTGTAAGCCCAATTCTCCGGCTACCTTTTCTAATTACCGTATTTTTTGCTCCATAAGATGCATTTTTTTCCACCCAAAAAAATGGGGGGAAATGTCTGTGCGTCTTATGGAGCGAATATGGAGCGGCCGGCCTGGAATTCCCGCCGCCGCTGTGTTAGAATACCGGGTTGGCTGCTCGGCTCTTCTGTGCTCCTCGGTCCTACCTGTTCCTCGGTCCAGTGCTGTCCTTACCATCTTCTCTCCCCGGTGCCGGCATCTTTAGTGTGGGCACCCAGCTGTGACAGCTTGCAGCTTCACAGCTGGGTGCCCACTGCACATGAGCGAGAAGCGCTGCACTTTGAGAATGGTCCGGCAGTCTTCTGGGACCTGACACGTCGCAGAAGACTACGGGGAGGGGGGACAACTCCACGGAAGTGGGAGCGGGTACCTGTCAAATTTGGGTACCCGCTCCCCCCCTCCTCTGCTCCCCAAAGGTCCACAGTCTCTGCTCACCCCCTGTACTGTGTCCGCAGTCTCTGGTCATTTCCTGCACCGTGTCCGCAGTCTCTGACCATCTCCTGTACCGTGTCCGCAGTCTCTGACCATCTCCTGTACCGTGTCCGCAGTCTCTGGTCATTTCCTGCACCGTGTCCGCAGTCTCTGGTCATCTCCTGTACCGTGTCCGCAGTCTCTGGTCATCTCCTGTACCGTGTCCGCAGTCTCTGGTCATCTCCTGTACCGTGTCCGCAGTCTCTGATCATCCCCTGTACCGTGTCCGCAGTCTCTGATCATCCCCTGTACCGTGTCCGCAGTCTCTGGTCATCCCCTGTACTGTGTCCGCAGTCTCTGGTCATCTCCTGTACTGTGTCCGCAGTCTCTGGTCATCTCCTGTACTATGTCCGCAGTCTCTGATCATCTCCTGTACTATGTCCGCAGTCTCTGGTCATCTCCTGTACTGTGTCCGCAGTCTCTGGTCATCTCCTGTACTGTCCGCAGTCTCTGGTCATCTCCTGTACTGTGTCCGCAGTCTCTGGTCATCTCCTGTACTATGTCCGCAGTCTCTGGTCATCTCCTGTACTGTGTCTGCAGTCCATTGGTTCAGAATATTTTTTTTCTTGTTTTCCTCTTCTAAAACCTAGGTGCGTCTTATGGAGCAAAAAATACGGTAATCATTAAGCTGGTCTTTGTTAAAACAAACAATTCAATTCCGACTATATGCCTAGATTCATCTCTTTTTAACCATTTGTTTCCAATGCCTATTCTGAGACTTCTCTCCTACATGTAAAATGTATATTTTTTTGTTGTTGACAGAAAATTATTTAGAATCCTCAAACATATGTTTTTTTAAGCAGAGGCTCTAAGCGCACGGGTGTCAAAGTGGCGGCCCTCCGGCTGTTGCCAAACTACAAGTCCCATGAGGCATTGCAAGATTGACAGTTACCAGCATGACTCCCAGAGGCTGAGGCATGATGTGCCGCCAGTTTTATGCTGTAGAGAATAAAAATGGGGGGGGTTGCAATTTTTTTTATGTCACACGGTATTTGCACAGCAGTTTAAAAAAATACACTTTAATGAATTATAGTGAACACAAAATACACTTTTTTTTAAATTTTTAATACATAACTCAATTTTTTGGGTAAAAATATAAAAGCGGATGTTACACTGAGTAAATACAAACATGTCTTGCTTTGAAATTGCGCACGCTCATTGAATGGCAACAAACGACGGTACTTTAAAGTACCGTATTTTCCGGCGTATAAGACGACTTTTCAACCCCTGAAAATCTTCTGAAAAGTCGAGGGTCGTCTTATACACCGGTGCGAGCCGGTGTCAGGGCGGCACTTTTTCGAGGGGCGGCGCGGCGCCGCCCCCCCTCCTCCTCCAACGGACACTAAGTACAGGGGTGGGCAGAGGGGCTGCTGTACCTTACCTGGCTCCGGTCCCATGATGATCCGGTCCAGGAAGCGTGGCTGCTCCTTCTTTCAGTTCGGCCGCTCGATAGTCACACGGCCGCTCGGCTCTGCCTCCTCACCGGTGATTTGGGCGCCAGCACTGGAAAGGCACACAGGCGACCAATCACCGGCGAGGAGGCGGAGCCGAGCGGCCCCACAAAAATCGAGCGGCCCGAACTGGAAGAAGGAGCAGCCGCTCCTCTCCCCCACTGACACTAAAGATGGGGCACTATTCCTCCTCCACTGACACCAACGATGAGGCACTATTCTCCCCACTGATACCAATGATGGGGCACTATTCCTCCCCCACTGACACCAACGATGAGGCACTGTTCTCACCCAATGACACCAACGATGAGGCACTGTTCCTCCCCACTGATACCAACGATGGGGCACTATTCCTCCCCCACTGACACCAACGATGGGTCACTATTCCTCCCCCCACTGATACCAACGATGGGGCACTATTCCTCCCACTGACACCAACGATGGGGCACTATTCCTCCCACTGATACCAACGATGGGGCACTATTCCTCCTCCCCACTGACACCAACAATGGGGCACTATTCTCCCCACTGACACCAGCGATGGGGCACTATTCTCCCCCCCACTGATACCAATGATGGGGCGCAATTCCTCCCACTGACACCAATGATGGGGCACAATTCCTCCCACTGACACCAATGATGGGGCGCAATTCCTGCCACTGATACCAATGATGGGGCGCAATTCCTGCCACTGATACCAATGATGGGGCGCTATTCCTCCCACTGACACCAATGATGGGGCACAATTCCTGCCACTGACACCAATGATGGGGCGCTATTCCTCCCACTGACACCAATGATGGGGCACAATTCCTCCCACTGACACCAATGATGGGGCACAATTCCTCCCACTGACACCAATGATGGGGTGCTATTCCTCCCACTGATACCAATGATGGGGCACTATTCCTCCCACTGACACCAACGATGGGGCACTATTCCTCCCACTGATACCAATGATGGGGCACTATTCCTCCTCCCCACTGACACCAACAATGGGGCACTATTCTCCCCCACTGACACCAGCGATGGGGCACTATTCTCCCCACTGATACCAATGATGGGGCGCAATTCCTCCCACTGACACCAATGATGGGGCACAATTCCTCCCACTGACACCAATGATGGAGCGCAATTCCTGCCACTGATACCAATGATGGGGCGCAATTCCTGCCACTGATACCAATGATGGGGCGCTATTCCTCCCACTGACACCAATGATGGGGCACAATTCCTGCCACTGACACCAATGATGGGGCGCTATTCCTCCCACTGACACCAATGATGGGGCACAATTCCTCCCACTGACACCAATGATGGGGTGCTATTCCTCCCACTGATACCAATGATGGGGTGCTATTCCTCCCACTGACACCAATGATGGAGCACTATTCCTCCCACTGACACCAATGATGGGGCACGATTCTTCCCACTGACACCAATGATGGGGCACTATTCCTCCCACTGACACCAATGATGGGGCACTATTCCTCCCACTGGCTAATGATGGGGCACTATTCCTCACACACTGACACTAATGATGGGGCACCATCATTGGTATCAGTGGGAGGAATAGTGCCCCATCATTGGTATCAGTGGGAGGAATAGTGCCCCATCATTGGTGTCAGTGGGAGGAATAGTGCTCCATCATTGGTGTCAGTGGGAGGAATAGTGTCCCATCATTAGTGTCAGTGGGAGGAATAGTGCTCCATCATTGGTGTCAGTGGGAGGAATAGTGCCCCATCATTGGTATCAGTGGGAGGAATAGTGCCCCATCATTGATATCAGTGGGAGGAATAGTGCTCCATCATTGGTATCAGTGGGAGGAATAGTGCTCCATCATTGGTATCAGTGGGAGGAATAGTGTCCCATCATTGGTATTAGTGGGAGGAATAGTGTTCCATCATTGGTGTCAGTGGGAGGAATAGTGCCCCATCATTGGTGTCAGTGGGAGGAATAGTGCCCCATCATTGATATCAGTGGGAGGAATAGTGCTCCATCATTGGTATCAGTGGGAGGAATAGTGTCCCATCATTGGTATCAGTGGGAGGAATAGTGCCCCATCATTGGTATCAGTGGGAGGAATAGTGCCCCATCATTGGTATCAGTGGGAGGAATAGTGTCCCATCATTGGTATCAGTGGGGAGGAATAGTGCCCCATCATTGGTGTCAGTGGGAGGAATAGTGCCCCATCATTGGTATCAGTGGGAGGAATAGTGCCCCATCATTGATGTCAGTGGGAGGAATAGTGCCCCATCATTGGTGTCAGTGGGGGGAATAGTGCCCCATCATTGGTGTCAGTGGGAGGAATAGTGCCCCATCATTGGTGTCAGTGGATGAAATAGTGCCCCATTATTGGTGTCAGTGGGAGGAGTAGTGCCTCATCATTGGCGTCAGTGGGAGGAATAGCGCCCCATCATTGGAATACCATACTGAAATAGCATACTATATTGATATAGTAAATCTGATGTTTTTTCATTTTTATTTGGTGTGCGTTGGAAGAGGGGTAGTCTTATACGGCGAGTATAGCTCAAACCCTATATTTTAACAGGAAAAGTAGGGGGTCGTCTTATACGCCAGAAAATACGGTATCCATAGGCGATGCTTTAAAAGCCTTTACAGGTTACCAGTTTAGATTTACACAGGAGGTCTGGTGATAGAATTATTACTCTTGCTCTGACGTTTACAGGGATACCTCACATATGTAGTGTGATCACTGTTTACATATGCATGAAGGGCCGATGCATGCGTTGTCCATCTGCATGTGAGCACGGGGGATGGGGGCGCTTTACGTTATTCATTTATTTATTTTTATGTTTACACTGTTTCTGGTTTTTGTGATCACTTTTGTGCTGTCACATGGAATGTGAACATCCCAGTGACAGGTACTCTTTATGGAGACCGAAATGACAAAACCATCGGCGCTTTCAGGTTCTGACATTTCACAGTGGGAGGATCAACTTCAGTTCCCCTCACTGTGTGCCAGGCTTAGGATGCTGCCGGTCGCATCGTTACTTGGCTATCTGATCGCTTGGGGGAGCCTGGTAAAGGCGGCGGTGGCGGAAGGGGGGGTGGGGTGGGACCCCCTTCCACCACCCGTAAAAGTAATCCAGTGGCTGCTTAGGTAGGAAAGCAGTTAAAGTGGTTCCAAAGGTTCCAGGTTTTTTACCTTCATGTATTCTATGCATGAAGGTAAAAAACCTTCTCTGTGCAGCAGTCCCCCCCTTATACTCACCTAAGCCCTCTCTCGATCCAGCGATGCGCACTGGAGTCTCAGCTATCCCGGGACTCCCTCTTCTCATTGGCTGAAACAGAAGCTGGAGCCATTGGCTCCCACTGTGGTCAATCACAGCCAGTGAACCAATGAAAAGAGAGAGGGGACGGGGCCGAGCCACGGCTCCGTGTGTAAGCCTTGGTTCACATATATGCGGGCGTGCGGGCCGCGTTTTGTGCAGGCAGAAGAGCACATTTATTTGAATGGACTCCCATCTCCCATGACACTCAGTGAAGAAGTCCCTGCACTGCTTATGAAAACGTAGCCGAGGTTCCCAGTACGGTTGCGTTTTCCAGTGCGGGCGGCATGCCATTAGAACTAATGGCACCCGCCCACGGGTCCACATTCCTCTGTGCGGGTGGTGCGGCTGAACGGATTTTCGCACGGATCCGCACCCGCACAGATGTTAACCTAGCCTAAGTGAACACACAGAGCAGCGGGTGCCCCCATAGCAAGCTGCTTGCTATGGGGGCACCCGACAGGAGGGAGGGGCCAGAAGCGCCTGTGTGGGAGGAGAATCCAGCCTGCACAGTGCAAAACCACTGCACACCGCAGGAAATTATAGCATGTTTGTTATAAAAAAAAAAAAAAAGGCTTTAGAATCACTTTAAAGTTGATCTCCAACCTTCCCTTTAGTCTCACACAGTTGTACTGGCTCCTCTCCAGGACTGAAATTGCTTACTCTACACACTATGAGTGCCACCCCATTTCTTGTCTGGAGGGCATCATCCAGCTCTTTCCGCCTCAGCCTAGCTTGCTGCAGATTCTATTGAACACTGTGCGAAGCTCACAGTGTGCAGTGTACTTATAGTATGCATTTTCAGTACAGGAGAAGAGACTTTACAACTGCGCAAGACTGAAAAGTAAGGCAGATGTTCGGCTTTAAGTTGTGCTCTTTGACGCATGGTTATCACAGTCGCTCCGTCTTCTGCGGTTGTGAAGATTCTACTAGAAAAGTTGGAAGAAATATAAAGTCAAGTTCTCACCTCTGCTTCTTCTCGATCCTCGCGTTTCATGTCAGGGTTTCTAAAAGGTCTCAGCGTCTCCTCCCACCACTCCAGATCAACACGGCGTTTGCGGGTACTGGTCATCCAATCTGGATCGTATCTACGCGTTACGTCATTAATGTGGCCTGAGTTATCGATCCCCACCACGTAGGTGACAGGCTTGGAGGCAGCCTTGAAGCAGGTGGATGGCTTGTTGATCGTCCCATGGACGAGGTCCACACAGACCCATTTCTCCTCCTTCCTCAGGTAGACTTCCAACCACTGATCGATGCCTCTGGAGGATGGTGGTGGGATCTCTTCTTCTTCTTCATCATCTGATGAGATGACCTTGCCTCTTTTCATCGGCTGGGCATTGTCCTTTTTTGGGGGAACTTTTTGCTTTGGGCTGTCCCGGACTCTTTGATGGTACTGTTCCAGAGTTCCCCTTGTTCTGATTTAAGGGACTTATAACTTTCCACACGATAGACTCGTGTGAGTCAGAGGAATCCGTGTCCTCGTTGTCACTGCAGGCGTATTCAGAACCGCTGCTACCCGACCCGCTTTCACTTTCTTCCTTGTATGAAATTTTAGAGGCCGCTTTTCTCCGAAGCTTGTTTTTGGGGCCAGTTCTTGGCTTGGCTTCCTCATCACTCTCGGCTTTAGCCCTCTTGGCTTTTTTTCTTTGATTTGTTGGCTTCCTTCTTCGATTTTTCTGCTGCCACTGGAGTCCCGTCATCCTCGTCTCCCCCGAAAAAACCGTCTCCTCTCGTTTCAGCTTCTTTTTCTTTGGCTCTGCTTGTGATTTAACTTTAGAAGGCCTTCGGGATTTGGAAGATTTCTTTCTTGTTTTAGAGGCCGACTTCTCTGTAGGAAGACGTTTCGCCTGAAGATAATCACAAATTCCTGTTATAAAACTGAGCTAAAGTCTGATACTCTCCTCCTTGCTACAAGGTCAGAGACCTCTCCGAGCCCTTGATTCTCCACCTATGCTTAACCATTAGCCGCCCGGCCAATGGCCGTTTGGCGGCTTCAGAAGTGTCTCTCCGTTCCGGGTACATGCCATTTGGCGTGCTCCCGCACATGCGCCGTTTGCGCTAGTGCAGAGCGGCGCAGCAGTGCGATCTGTCATCAGCCGTGCACCTCGGACACGGCCGATGACAGATCCGAGTACCGGCTCCCGTTGCTGGTACCATGTGACCTGCTGTGACCAATCACAGCAGGTCACATGACAGTTGTATACAATGGATGGCTTCATTCATGATGCCATCCATTGTATACTAGTGCCTAGCTGTGAATGGTCACAGCTAATCCCATGCACATGTCATGTGATTAGCTGTGACCAAATCACAGCTAAGCACAAAAAAAAAAAAAAGAAAGCTAAATGAATCGATTTTATTCAGGTAAATGCTTGCTTATAGCAAAGTAATTCTTTGCTATAAGCAAATTGTGTAAAAAAAAAAAAAAAAAAAATACTGATCACTTCCCCAAAGTAGTACAATGTTACTATGGTAACATTGTACTACTTTGGTCATAGTAAAATATGAAAAAAAATCTTAAAAAAAAAAAAAAAATGTAATAAAAAATTAAATATAATAAAAAAATAAAAAAAAATATATATATATATTTTTTTCATACTGTCACCAGTCAGTGTCCCTGTTCACCGCCATGCCAGTTATATGATGACGCTGTACTGCACTGGTGACAGTATGTAAAAAAAAAAAAAAAATAGTGAAAATAATTTTTTTCATTTCTTCATTTTCCGAAAAATTATGACAAAAAAATACAACTTCAAAAAACTCGCCATGCCTCTTATGAAGTACGTCGGACTGTCTACTCTGCAAAAAGGGGTCATTTGGGGATATCTGTACTATTCTGACATTCTTGGACCTCAAGAAATTAGATTGGCTGTCAGTACTTCAGGATTGATCAATATTCAGATCTATCCCATAGTTTGTGAACTCTATAACTTTCCTAAAAACTAAAAAATACATCCTAATTTGGGTTATTTTCACCAAAGACATGGAGCAGAATACATCTCGGCCTAAATTTATGAAGAACAATTATTTATTTGTAAACTTTTATAACAGAAACAAAGAAAAATGTGTTTTTTTTTTTTCAAAATTTTTGGTCTTTTTTTGTTAATTTAGCAAAATATAAAAACCCCAGTGGTGATTAAATTCCACCAAAAGAAAGCTCTAGTTGTGTGAAGAAAATGATAAAATTTTAGTTTGGGTACAGTGTTGTATGACCGCGCAATTGTCATTCAAAGTCTGAGAGCGCTGAAACCTGAAAAATGGCCTGGGCAGGAAGGTGTAAAATTGCCCGGTATTGAAACGGTTCCCAACCGCGCTATAGTCGAAGGATGGCTACAGCGCGGTTGTTTAATCCTGGGACGACATCAATGGACGTCATTAGAGGACACCCCCCCCTTCCCCCGTGTGCTCCCAGCCCCGCCGGTGATCGCAGCTGATCACGGGGTGTGGTAATCGGCCAAGTCACAGCGTGAAGAAAGTACTGCCGAGAACCGACAATTGTCAGCAAAGGGATAGGCACTGATGATCAGTCCCCAGCAGTGCCGCCCACCTATACCCGTCAGGGCCACCCACCTGTGCCACTCATCCATTATGGGGAGGATAATGGATCGGACTCCGATCCATTATGCTCAATCTGTAGATCCGATCCATTCTGCGGGGAACGTCGACATGCAGCCTATATGAGGTGACACCGGACCCGCTCCACGACAAAGTAAGCTGTAAAGAACGCTGATGATCCCCGCAGGATGGATCGGATCTGTGGATTGCAGAGCATAATGGATCGGACTCCGATCCAGTATGCTCAATCCACAGATCCGATCCATCCTGCGGGGATCGTCAGCTTGCTTTACAACTTACCTTGTCGTGGAGCGGGTCCGGTGTCACCCCATGCGGTAGGGATCACCCGGTGCGGCGTACACCCCCCACACCTGCCTTGGGAAGCCACTGACCCACGGCAGTGGCCAACACAGACAAGCTGGGCCCGGGCACATCTGAAGGGGTGCCGGAGATGTTGTGTTTTCAACAGCACTGGCGGCACTAGCACCAGTTAAGTAAGTGCCGCATGGCCGGATCTATGTGGGTGCTGAGGTAGGCTGCACCGCGCCCCCCCCCAGATTTCAGTTGTGCCTTTCCCCCGCAAAGCCCCCCATATACAACCCTCTCCCTACCCCCGACACTGTGCCTGGCCATCTCCCATCCCTGCACTGCACACACCACATAGTTGAAATCCGATCATCTGCCTGAATGATTCTGTGCTATCCTGATTGTTAGTGTTTTTTTATGTGTGGCTCCAGACAATTCATCTACTTCCAATGTGGCCCAGAAAAGTCAAAAGGTTGCACACCCCTGCTTTAGGATATGAGGGAAACATAGCCAATCTTACCTTGGCAGGTGGCTCCTTCAGAGGGATGGGCTGCAGTGACAACACCAACCGGCTCATAAGCTGCAGAGCTCGCAGGAGGATCAAGAAGAGCTGCAGAGAAACCAGACAGCATAATCAGACATGAGGACTGTCATCACATTTTACCAGCACGTTGGTGATTTTCTTTGTTGCAAAGAACATTAAGGGCCAATGTGCACAAATATTTGTACATGTCAGGGCCCCACAAACATTCTGTGCTTCCAACTGAAAAAAAAAAAGCAAAAAAACTGAAGCTGCACTGATAACCAATACAGAGAATATTCAATTCAACAAGCATGTGCAGCACCCGGGTTCAGTGCAGGAAATTAAAGCAAGCGCTATTTATTTACACTGACATAATCAACAGCTCCCCTGTGCAAATAAAGTGTCAGTTCAGGCAAAACCTAAGGAAGGGTAAACCTACTCCCACCCCCATTCTAAGATTGTCCACTGGGGAAGACCCGGCCTTTTCTGACACTCATGTTTACATTTAAAAATCAGTATTTCTAAAATTGCTTCAAAACCCCAAACATTATATATATATTTTTTTTTACAATTTATTTTAGCAGATGCCTTAAAGAAGTGCTAGCGAATCTATGGCACGCGTGCCGCAGCGGGCGCGCACAGCCCTCTCTGTCGGCACATGAGCCAAGTCGCCCAAGCAGCTGAGCATAGGATAACAGCGCACATAGGGGCCATGCGCATGCTCGGAAAGGAGTAGAGGCGCCAGGCATGAACCGCGAATAATTAGCCGCGACTCGTCCGAGCTTTCGCATGGCCGGTTAGTGCACTGCTAAAGGAGATATATATATTGGACTGGCGGTGAGTTTTAATACATTCGTTTTTATTAACACAAGATTTTAGCTGGTCGGGGGAATTTTGCCCCCTTGTGCTGGTGGTGGGGGGAACTTTGCCCCCTTGTGCTGGTGGTCGGGGGAACTTTGCCCCCTTGTGCTGGTGGTCGGGGCAGCTTTGCCCCCTTGTGCTGGTGGTGGGGGGAACTTTGCCCCCTTGTGCTGGTGGTGGGGGGAACTTTGCCCCCTTGTGCTGGTGGTGGGGGGAACCTTGCCCCCTTGTGCTGGTGGTCGGGGGAACCTTGCCCCCTTGTGCTGGTGGTCGGTGGAACTTTGCCCCCTTGTGCTGGTGGTCGGGGGAACTTTGCCCCCTTGTGCTGGTGGTCGGGGGAACTTTGCCCCCTTGTGCTGGTGGTCGGGGGAACTTTGCCCCCTTGTGCTGGTGGTGGGGGGAACTTTGCCCCCTTGTGCTGGTGGTGGGGGGAACTTTGCCCCCTTGTGCTGGTGGTGGGGGGGAACTTTGCCCCCTTGTGCTGGTGGTCGGGGAACTTTGTCCCTTGTGCTGGTGGTGGGGGGAACTTTGCCCCCTTGTGCTGGTGGTCGGGGGAACTTTGCCCCCTTGTGCTGGTGGTCAGTTGAACTTTGCCCCCTTGTGCTGGTGGTCGGAGAACTTTGTCCCTTGTGCTGGTGGTCGGGGGAACTTTGCCCCCTTGTGCTGGTGGTGGGGGCAGCTTTGCTCCCTTGTGCTGGTGGTGGGGGCAGCTTTGCCCCCTTGTGCTGGTGGTCGGGGCAGCTTTGCTCCCTTGTGCTGGTGGTCGGGGCAGCTTTGCCCCCTTGTGCTGGTGGTCGGGGCAGCTTTGCCCCCTTGTGCTGGTGGTGGGGGGAACTTTGCCCCCTTGTGCTGGTGGTGGGGGGGAACTTTGCCCCCTTTTGCTGGTGGTGGGGGGAACTTTGCCCCCTTGTGCTGGTGGTGGGGGGAACTTTGCCCCCTTGTGCTGGTGCTGGGGGGAACTTTGCCCCCTTGTGCTGGTGCTGGGGGGAACTTTGCCCCCTTGTGCTGGTGCTCGGGGGAACTTTGTCCCTCGTGCTGGTGGTCGGGGGAACTTTGCCCCCTTGTGCTGGTGGTCGGGGGAACTTTGCCCCCTTGTGCTGGTGGTCGGGGGAAAACTTTGCCCCCTTGTGCTGGTGGTCGGGGGAACTTTGCCCCCTTGTGCTGGTGGTCGGGGGAACTTTGCCCCCTTGTGCTGGTGGTCGGGGGAACTTTGCCCCCTTGTGCTGGTGGTCGGGGAACTTTGTCCCTTGTGCTGGTGGTCGGGGGAACTTTGCCCCCTTGTGCTGGTGGTGGGGGCAGCTTTGCCCCCTTGTGCTGGTGGTGGGGGCAGCTTTGCCCCCTTGTGCTGGTGGTGGGGGCAGCTTTGCCCCCTTGTGCTGGTGGTCGGGGCAGCTTTGCTCCCTTGTGCTGGTGGTGGGGGGAACTTTGCCCCCTTGTGCTGGTGGTGGGGGGAACTTTGCCCCCTTGTGCTGGTGGTGGGGGGAACTTTGCCCCCTTGTGCTGGTGGTCGGGGAACTTTGTCCCTTGTGCTGGGGGGAACTTTGCCCCCTTGTGCTGGTGCTGGGGGGAACTTTGTCCCTTGTGCTGGTGGTCGGGGGAACTTTGCCCCCTTGTGCTGGTGGTCGGGGGAACTTTGCCCCCTTGTGCTGGTGGTCGGGGGAACTTTGCCCCCTTGTGCTGGTGGTCGGGGAACTTTGTCCCTTGTGCTGGTGGTGGGGGGAACTTTGCCCCCTTGTGCTGGTGGTGGGGGGAACTTTGCCCCCTTGTGCTGGTGGTCGGGGAACTTTGCCCCCTTGTGCTGGTGGTCGGGGGAACTTTGCCCCCTTGTGCTGGTGGTCGGGGGAACTTTGCCCCCTTGTGCTGGTGGTCAGTTGAACTTTGCCCCCTTGTGCTGGTGGTCGGGGCAGCTTTGCCCCCTTGTGCTGGTGGTCGGGGGAACTTTGCCCCCTTGTGCTGGTGGTCGGGGGAACTTTGCCCCCTTGTGCTGGTGGTCGGAGGAACTTTGCCCCCTTGTGCTGGTAGTGGAGGGAACTTTGCCCCCTTGTGCTGGTAGTGGAGGGAACTTTGCCCCCTTGTGCTGGTAGTGGAGGGAACTTTGCCCCCTTGTGCTGGTGGTCGGGGGAACTTTGCCCCCTTGTGCTGGTGGTGGGGGGGGAACTTTGCCCCCTTGTGCTGGTGGTCGGGGGAACTTTGCCCCCTTGTGCTGGTGGTCGGGGGAACTTTGCCCCTTGTGCTGGTGGTCAGTGGAAGCTCTGCTATTGTGTTTTTCTTTTAAGATGTCCCTTTAACAGGCTCGAATAGGCAGTATTTTTCCCTTACATGAACCATTTCCTCTGCATCTCTCACTCCGTACACCCCAAATCTCCTCTCCAAGGTCCCAGACAGAGGTTCTTGCTCATCCAATGACATTTCAGGATTCAGGGTGAAGGTCGATGTGAACCTGCAAATAAGATATTTCCTGTAAGTCTGTGGGCTAAGCAGATCTCATCTTGCAGAACGCAGAGCAAGAGAGAGACTCTAAAGTGATACAAACATCGGAGGAAAAAGATAAAGCCAGAAAAAGGTCTCTTTATATGGTTGGAGAATCTGGGTGGAGTTCCCTTTAACCGCTTCCCCAATGCCCTATAGCAGAAATACTGCGACATGGCGGTGGGGCTGCTCAAAATCACGTATATATACATGATTTGCATTTCCGGGTAGGGGGCGCGCGCATCACCCTACCCGCGCCAGCATTGGCGGCTACAGATATCGATCACCAGGTCCCGGTTGGAGATTCCCTGCCGACACCCGGCGATCACCAAGAAACAGTGACAGGTGAGAGACCTGTGTATAAACAACAAACGTCTCTCTCCTGTCAGCAGCAACATGCTGCTGTGTATTTCTCTGCACACCAGAGAAATACACAGCAGCATGTTTCCCAAGTAAAACACACAGCACACTGTTAACCCTTTGATTGCCCCAGATGTTAACCCCTTCCTGCCCAGTGCCATTAGTACAATGTCAGTGCTTTTTATTAGCACTGATCACTGTATTGGTGTTATTGGGATATCAGTGGCAGTTAGTCAGTCCCCCCCCAGTGTCAGAATGCCTGCCACAGTCCCGCTATAAGTCGCTGATCGCTGCCATTACTATTATAACAGAAAAAAAAAATTCCAGTAGATATACCGTCATTTGTAGAAGCTATAACTTTCACATAAACCAATTAATTTACACGTATTGGGATTTTCTCTAGCAAAGACACGGAGCAGAATACATTTGGTCTAAATTTATGATGAAATTTGATTTTTTAAAAATTTTTTTACTGCACATGTTTAACCATTAGCCGCCCGGCCAATGGCCGTTTGGCGGCTTCAGAAGTGTCTCTGCACTCCGGGTGCACGCCATATGGCGTCCTCCCGCACATGCGCAGATCGCGTTCCTGCAGAGCGGCGCAGCAGTGCGATCTGTCATCGGCCGTGCACCTCGGACACGGCCGATGACAGATCCGAGTACCGGCTCCCGTTGCTGGTACCATGTGACCTGCTGTGACCAATCACAGCAGGTCACATGACAGTTGTATACAATGGATGGCTTCATTCATGATGCCATCCATTGTATACTAGTGCCTAGCTGTGAATGGTCACAGCTAATCACATGCACATGTCATGTGATTAGCTGTGACCAAATCACAGCTAAAAAAAAAAAACTGAATGAATCGATGTCATTCAGGTAAATGCTTGCTTATAGCAAAGTAATTCTTTGCTATAAGCAAATTGTGTAAAAAAAAAAAAATACTGATCACTTCCCCAAAGTAGTACAATGTTACTATGGTAACATTGTACTACCTTGGTCATAGTAAAATATGAAAAAAAAATCTTAAAAAAAAAAAAAAAAAATGTAATAAAAAATTAAATATAATAAAAAAAATTAAAAAAAAATTAAAAAAAATATATATATATATTTTTTTTTCATACTGTCACCAGTCAGTGTCCCTGATCACCGCCATGCCAGTTATATGATGACGCTGTACTGCACTGGCGACAGTATGTAAAAAAAAAATAAATAGTGAAAATAATTTTTTTAATTTTTTCATTTTCCGAAAAATTATGACAAAAAAAATACAACTTCAAAAAAACTCGCCATGCCTCTTATGAAGTACGTCGGACTGTCTACTCTGCAAACAGGGGTCATTTGGGGATATCTGTACTGTCCTGACATTTGGGGGATATCTGTACCGTCCTGACATTTGGGGATATCTGTACCGTCCTGACATTTGGGGGGTATCTGTACTGTCCTGACATTTGGGGGATATCTGTACTTTTCTGACATTTGGGGGATATCTGTACTTTTCTGACATTTGGGGGATATCTGTACTATTCTGACATTCTTGGACCTCAAGAAATTAGATTGGCTGTCAGTACTTCAGGATTGATCAATATTCAGATCTATACCATAGTTTGTGAACTCTATAACTTTCCTACAAACTAAATAATACATCCTAATTTGGGTTATTTTCACCAAAGACATGTAGCAGAATACATCTCGGCCTAAATTTATGAAGAACAATTATTTATTTGTAAACTTTTATAACAGAAACAAAGAAAAATGTGTTTTTTTTTCAAAATTTTTGGTCTTTTTTTGTTAATTTAGCAAAAAATAAAAACCCCAGCGGTGATTAAATACCACCAAAAGAAAGCTCTAGTTGTGTGAAGAAAATGATAAAATTTTAGTTTGGGTACAATATTGTATGACTGCGCAATTGTCATTCAAAGTGTGAGAGCGCTGAAACCTGAAAAATGGCCTGGGCAGGAAGGGGGAAAATTGCCCGGTATTGAAACGGTTAATAGCAAAAAGTAAAAAATACTGTTTTTTTTTCAAAATTGTTGGTCTTTGTTTATAGCACAAAAAAAATAAAAAATGCACAAATACCACTGAAAGAAAGCTCTATTTGTGGGGGAAAAAAGGACAGATTTCATTTGGGTGCAGCGTTGCATGACCGTGCAATTGTCAGATAAAATAACGCAGCGCCGTATTGCAAAAAATTGCCTGGTCAGGAAGGTGGGGGGGGGAGTGTAAATCTTCTGGAGGGCGAGGGGTTAAATAAGAGATGGACATACCACTTCACCAGGTTGGTCAGGTACACTATGTCTACTCTTGCAACTGGAATGTTGGCAAACTTAACAGGAACGACAGACAGCGCCACAGCCTGGAGATCAGGCGAGTTGCAGGTGTTGCTGCGATAAACGCCATTGGCCAAGAGGCAGAGAAGGTGGACCTGGAGGATGAAAGAGGTCAGAGATGAGGTCAGAGTACAGAATGACCCAAGATGTAAAAACCCTTCTGTGATCAGAGCATTTCTGGGTTATAGTAGGTTTCTGCACAATACATACTCCAAGTAACTTTTATTAATGAAGCTGTAAGGAGGCATACAATGACACACTCCAGGGACCTGTATGTTATTATTATCAGCAGCCTTGAACCTACCCATATGTATGCTGCAGCCTGAGATATTCTTACAAATGCTGGGAGATTACCATAGGTACTGTGACTAACAGAATGAAAATCTCCACCCTGCAAGACAGGACACTTTGTTGTAAACACTGCTCTAAGGTTCAAGAGGATGAAGGGGGCATCTGATAAATCCACAGATAGAGAAACTCCTTTAACTGTTAAAGCTGAATTCCAGGAATTCCAAAACATTGTGAAAAGTGAAGGCACTCAATAGATCGCTATTGGGGGTGACACCTGCCAGAGGAGTGATAACTCTCCAGTATCTTCTTTGGCCATAGTGACATGGTACAATCCATCCATAGCATACTGACATGGCACATTCCATCCATCACCCCCCCCTACATAGTGACATGGTACAATCCATCCATAGCACCCTACATACTGACATGGCACATTCCATCCATCACCCCCCCCCCCCTACATACTGACATGGCACATTCCATCCATCCATCACCCCCCCCCCCCCCACATAGTGACATGGTACAATCCATGGGATGAGCCACCATGGAGAGCGAGAGAGAAAGAGAGACACACAGCAGGTCAGTGTGTGTCCCGTGTACTTCCTCCTCTACGACCAGGAGGAGACATCCATCCCCTGCCCCACCCCCCTCTGACATCACTGAGACATGGGGCATTCCAAACTTCCTCTACTACACCCTTACATACTGACATGGTACATTCCATCTATCACCCCCCTACATAGTGACATAGTACAATCCATCCATAGCCCCCCTACATACCAACATGGTACATTCCATCCATCACCCCCCTACATAGTGACATGGTACAATCCATCCATAGCCCCCTACATACTGACATGGTACATTCCATCCATCGCCCCCTACATAGTGACTTGGTACAATCCATCCATATCTCCCCTACATACCGACATGGTACATTCCATCCATCACCCCCCCCCCCCCCCTACATAGTGACTTGGTACAATCCATCCATAGCCCCCTACATACCGACATGGTACATTCCATCCATCACCCCTCTACATAGTGACATGGTACAAACCATATATAGCCCCCCCCTACATACTGACATGATATATTTCATCCATCGCCCCCTACATAGTGACATGGTACTATCCATCCATAGCCCCCCTACATACCAACAGGCTACATTCCATCCATCACCCCCCCTACATAGTGACATGGTACAATCCATCCATAGCCCCCTACATACTGACATGGTACATTCCATCCATCACCCTCCTACATAGTGACATGGTACAATTCATCCATAACCCTTTACATACTGACATGGTATATTCCATCCATCACCCCCCCTACATAGTGACATGGTACAATCCATCCATAGCTCCCTACATACTGACATGGTACATTCCATCCATCACCCTCCTACATAGTGACATGGTACAATTCATCCATAACCCTTTACATACTGACATGGTATATTCCATCCATCACCCCCCCTACATAGTGACATGGTACAATCCATCCATAGCCCCCCTACATACCGACATGGTACATTCCATCCATCACCCCCCTACACACTGACATGGTACATTCCATCCATCACCTCTCCCCCCCCCTACATAGTGACATTGTACAATCCATTCATAGCCTCCCCATATCAGTGGTCTCAAAACTGCAGCCCGGGGGCTGGGTGTGGCCCTTTGCTTGCCTTTATCTGACCCTCAGGGCACTTTTCCTCCCACTGATACAAGACACTATTCCTTTCCTGCTACCAACAATGGGACATAATTACTGCTTGTGTGAACTCCTTCACACAATACAAAGGCTTCTGTGAATGGGCAGCAGAGGGGAGTGGCAAATCGATAAACCTGTCTGGTATAAATAACAGAGATAAGCCCATGATGTGGCAGGCAGCTATTAGGACTTACCTCATGGTGTGCCTGCACTTTTCACAAAGTTGCTGAATTTGTGGAATTCAGCTTGAATTCTACCCAATACTTAGGGAGCAGCCATTTTCTGGTTGTCCAAGACTGGGACCTACCAATGACACTGGGATCTGCGCCCTGTTCTCCCACCTTGTGTGTGTCTTCACGAAGCTCCTTGCTGCAGCGGTTCATCAATCTGCGCAGATCACAGAAGCCTTTGTATTGTGTGAATGAGTGCACACAAATACAAAGGCTTCTGTGAATAGGCAGTAGAGGGGAGTGATAAATCGATAAACCTGTCGGGTATAAATAACACTGGGATCTGCGCCCTGTTCTCCCACCTTGTGTGTGTCTTCGCGAAGCTCCTTGCTGCAGCAGTTCATCAATCTGCGCAGATCACAGAAGCCTTTGTATTTGTGTGAACTCATTCACACAATACAAAGGCTTCTGTGAAGGGGCAGCAGAGGGGAGTGGCAAATCGATAAACCTGTAGGGTATAAATAACACTGGGATCTGCGCCCTGTTCTCCCACCTTGTGTGTCTTCGCGTAGCTCCTTGCTGCAGCGGTTCATCAATCTGCGCAGATCACAGAAGCCTTTGTATTTGTGTGAACTCATTCACACAATACAAAGGCTTCTGTGAATGGGCAGCAGAGAGGAGTGGCAAATCAATAAACCTGTCATGTATAAATAACACTGGGATCTGCGCCCTGTTCTCCCACCTTGTGTGTGTCTTCGCGAAGCTCCTTGCTGCAGCGGTTCATCAATCTGCGCAGATAAGCAGCAAATTCCGCCTTCCTCTTCTCTCTGCAAAATATTAATGGCAGTCATCAGATTTTCCTGCACTTACAAGGCCGAAGCCAAATCCTAGCATTCCGCACACTCTTCATAGTGCGACACTTCAACCCCAAATAAATAAAAGCTGGAGCAGGAACTGTATGTATTGCATCATGCCAGTCCTTGGTTGGTCACTCACAGGTTCCTTATGCAGGCCATAGACGGTTCGTTTATCGGCCGAAAAAAACAAAAAAATCAGTCGTTCTGCTGCCACCAATGATTACGAAAATCGTCCGTTTTTCGTAAATTTTCCAGCATGACCGATATAAGAATTGAGGAAGAACCTCAAAAATCAGCCGATGACATTGCCCCACATTGCCGATTATTCTTTCGGATGAAAATTCGGCCAATAAACGAACCGTCTATGGCCTGCATTATGTTTCTTTGGGATACCAGCAATGGGATTCCTATTCCCACATTTGTCAGCTGAGCCTCCTGACCGATAGCATGTCAAACCAAACATAAAATACCTCATCAGTCTTTTCTTTGCTGCCTCTGCGGTTTCAATCTCGATCTCTACCGGCTTAGCGGAAGGCTCCGGGCCTGCGGACGTCGAGGCCTGCAGTGACTCCAGAGTCGGCTCATTCAGCTCTAGACACACAAGTGATGGAGATGGGAAGAGCAGGTCATGGAAACAACTGGATAAAACAGACCTCATTCATCAAAGGGTCTGAAAACGGTTTGTATTCTATACACGTGCGGTTCGTTTTGTTTCGAAAAGAAATTCAGACCAAATTTTTGTTGTTCGGAGATTTTGGATGTATCCAAATTTCCGAGTTGCAACAGTAAAAAATTCATCTGAAGTTTAAATCAAATTCAAATCGAATTCGAAAACAAGAATGAAAAAAAAAAAAAAAATAGAAAATAAAAGGCGTAAAATAGAAAAGAATAGAAAATACAAAAAAATTAGACTAGAATAGAGTAAAACAGAAAAGAATAGAAAATAGCAGAAAATAAAATAAAAGCATAGAACAGAACAGAAAAGAAAACAACAGAATAGCAAATAAAAGAATAGAATACCCGTAGAAAAAAAAAAAAAGAATAGAGTAAAACAGAACATAACAGAAAATAAAAGAATAGAATAAAATTTAATAAAAAAAGAACAGAATAGCAAATAAAAGCATACAAGTGAACAGAAAAAAAAGAATAGAAAAGAATAGTGTAAAACAGAATAGAATAGAAGTGAAAAGAACAGAATAGAAGTGAAAAGAACAAAATACTTGTAGAAAAGAAAAGAATAGAGTAAGACAGAGCAGAAAATAAAAGAACAGAATAGAATAGACAAGCATATAAAAGAATAGATGTGAATACAAAAAAAAAAAAGAAAACAATAGTAAAACAGAACATAATATAAAAGAATAGAATAAAAAAAGAACAGAATAGAATAGTAAATAAAAGAATAGAAGTGAAAAAGAAAAAAAAGAATAGAGTTAAACAGCACAGAAAAAAAATAAAAAAATAGAATAGAAAACAGAATAGAAAATAATAGAAGTGAATAGATTAGAAAAAAAAAGAATAGCAAATAAAAGAATAAAATATAAGTGAATAGAATAGAACAGAATAGAATACCTGTAGAAAAGAATAGCGTAAAACAGAACAGAATAGAAAATAAAATAGAATAAAACAGAACAGTATACAATATAATAGCAAATAAAAGAATAGAAGTGAATAGAATAGAAAAATAAAAGAATAAAATAGAAAGGAATACAACAGAAAATAAGGAATAGAATAGAATATTGGACACCAGAATTGTAGGAGGAATACAGATGATCTCATTGTTAGATTTTAATATTTGCAGCCATACCTTCCACATCCTCCCATTCCTCATCGCTGTCCTTCTCCACGTCGCTGTCTTCAATCACGACCACATCCGGGATGGAGACCTTCCCTTCCAAACTCAGCAAGTCTCTGCACAACACAATGCAGAAAATACAGACAGTAAGGCGGCTCTCACACCGATCCGCTTCTGAGAATCTTCTCATGTACCATTCTGTTCTGTTGGTTAGGAGCCTCTTCTGGAGACTCTGACTTGGCTATACCAGGAAAGTGTCATCTACGAAGGACGGTTGTACAATCTGTCTGGAAAAATTAATGATCAGGGCTCAACAAATCCCAGGTGCCAGATTGCAATGGCGATTAGAAATTGGATCCTGGCACTAAGGTTCACACAAATTGCACCCCATAGACTTTAATGGGAAAACCGTCTGTCGTAGACTTCCATGGGGAAACGACTCCCGTAGACTTCCATGGGGAAACGCCTCCCGTAGACTTCCATGGGGAAACGCCTCCCGTAGACTTCCTTGGGGAAACGCCTCCCGTAGACTTCCATGGGGAAACGCCTCCCGTAGACTTCCATGGGGAAACGCCCCCCGTAGACTTCTATGAGAAAACGTCTCTTGTAGAGTTCCATGGAAAGTCACCTCCCATAGAAGTTTATGGGAAAATAGACTTCCATGGGAAAACGCCTCCCGTAGACTTTCATGGGGAAACGCCTCCCGTAGACTTCCATGGGGAAACGCCTCCCGTAGACTTCCATGGGGAAACGCCTCCCGTAGACTTCCATGGGGAAACGCCTCCCGTAGACTTCCATGGGGAAACGCCTCCCGTAGACTTCCATGGGAAAAACGCCTCCCGTAGACTTCTATGAGAAAACGTCTCTCGTAGAGTTCCATGGAAAGTCACCTCCCATAGAAGTTTATGGGAAAGTAGACTTCCATGGGAAAACGCCTCCCGTAGACTTCCATGGGGAAACGCCTCCCGTAGACTTCCATGGGGAAACGCCTCCCGTAGACTTCCATGGGGAAACGCCTCCCGTAGACTTCCATGGGGAAACGCCTCCCGTAGACTTCCATGGGGAAACACCTCCCGTAGACTTCCATGAGAAAACGTCTCCTGTAGACTTCCATGGAAAGTCACCTACCATAGACGTTTATGGGAAAATAGACTTCCATGGGAAAACGCCTCCCGTAGACTTTCATGGGGAAATGTCTTCCGTAGACTTCCATGGGGAAACGCCTCCCGTAGACTTCCATGGGGAAATGCCTCCCGTAGACTTCCTTGGGGAAACGCCTCCCGTAGACTTCCATGGGAAAACGCCTCCCCTAGACTTCCATGGGAAAACGCCTCCCGTAGACTTCTATGAGAAAAACGTCTCTCGTAGAGTTCCATGGAAAGTCACTTCCCCATAGAAGTTTATGGGAAAAATAGACTTCCATGGGAAAACGCCTCCCGTAGACTTTCATGGGGAAACGCCTCCCGTAGACTTTCATGGGGAAATGTCTCCCGTAGACTTCCATGGGGAAACGCCTCCCGTAGACTTCCATGGGGAAACGCCTCCCGTAGACTTCCATGGGGAAACGCCTCCCGTAGACTTCCATGGGGAAACGCCTCCCGTAGACTTCCATGGGGAAACGCCTCCCGTAGACTTCCATGGGGAAACGCCTCCCGTAGACTTCCATGGGAAAACGCCTCCCATAGACTTCTATGAGAAAACGTCTCTCGTAGAGTTCCATGGAAAGTCACTTCCCATAGAAGTTTATGGGAAAATAGACTTCCATGGGAAAACGCCTCCCCTAGACTTCCATGGGAAAACGTCTCCCGTAGACTTCCATGGGAAAACGCCTCCCCTAGACTTCCATGGGAAAACGCCTCCCGTAGACTTCTATGAGAAAACGTCTCTCGTAGAGTTCCATGGAAAGTCACCTCCCATAGAAGTTTATGGGAAAATAGACTTCCATGGGAAAACGCCTCCCGTAGACTTCTATGAGAAAACGTCTCCCGTAGACTTCCATGAGAAAACGTCTCCCGTAGACTTCCATGGGAAAACGTCTCCCGTAGACTTCCATGGGAAAACGTCTCCCGTAGACTTCCATGGGAAAAACGTCTCCCGTAGACTTCCATGGGAAAACGTCTCCCGTAGACTTCCATGGGAAAACGTCTCCCCTAGACTTCCATGGGAAAACGCCTCCCGTAGACTTCTATGAGAAAACGTCTCTCGTAGAGTTCCATGGAAAGTCACCTCCCATAGAAGTTTATGGGAAAATAGACTTCCATGGGAAAACGCCTCCTGTAGACTTCTATGAGAAAACGCCTCCCGTAGACTTCTATGAGAAAACGTCTCCCGTAGACTTCCATGAGAAAACGTCTCCCGTAGACTTCCATGAGAAAACGTCTCCCGTAGACTTCCATGAGAAAACGTCTCCCGTAGACTTCCATGAGAAAACGTCTCCCGTAGACTTCCATGAGAAAACGTCTCCCGTAGACTTCCATGAGAAAACGTCTCCCGTAGACTTCCATGAGAAAACGTCTCCCGTAGACTTCCATGAGAAAACGTCTCCCGTAGACTTCCATGAGAAAACGTCTCCCGTAGACTTCCATGGGAAAACGTCTCCCGTAGACTTCCATGGGAAAACGTCTCCCGTAGACTTCCATGGGAAAACGTCTCCCGTAGACTTCCATGGGAAAACGTCTCCCGTAGACTTCCATGGGAAAACGTCTCCCGTAGACTTCTATGAGAAAACGTCTGCCGTAGACTTCCATGGGAAAACGCCTCCGGTAGAATTCTATGAGAAAACGTCTCACGTAGACTTCCATGGGAAAATGTCTCCCGTAGACTTCAATGGGAAAACTCCTTTCAACAGAACTCCTATGTGAACAGTTATCTCTGCATGCCACTCTACTCTATGACTTGCGGTTATGTCGTGATTGTCGCGTGGCAAATCGCATCACGGGAAGTCCCGGACGCTGACAACCCATGCTACGCTAAAAAGACTGGCTCCTAGATTCAAAGCAAATGTGTCGAGCCCTGAAGTAGATGGTGTGGCATATATAAGCTGCATCCTTGTGTCAGTGAAGGGACCGCGCACAATGAACGCAACATTCAGATAACAGATACAAAGTAGCGCATTTCTGACATCAGCACTTTGGTCAGCAAAGCGTCTCTGGTCACCCTTATGTTTCTATGGTAAGATCGAATATCTCTCAGGGGATCCCACATCCGGTGACACACTCACTCGATCTCTTTCTCTCTGTCCTCCGATTTCATCGCCGGGGTTTTCGTGGTTTTTCTGGCGCCTCTCTTTGCTGCGCTCTCTCCACCTGGCTTGTCTCCGCTGCCATCAGCTTTCTTTGTGGTTTTTACCACCTGGCACCGAGCTTCTGCTTTTCTTCTGCGGCACCTTCCCGTCATCGCAAACGTCTGCCTTCTCATCTGTCAGATCAGAGCAGAAAACAGAAGGTGTTCCCGGATGAGAAAATCTCTCACAGAGCAATATCTGAGACACAAGCAACTGTCTCTGCTACAGTCACCCAGGGACCACAAGTCTCAGCCAAGACAAACGCTGCATGGAGGAGGGGCGCTCCAGCCTGGATTTAGGGTGGGCTTGTTTTATAGAGGAGCCGTCATTTCTCCCATCCAGGACACAGTGACTGCTTCTCTGAGCTGACATACATACACACACATATATTATATATACACACACATATACATTTAATACACACTATATACACATACATACACACACATATATTATATAACACACACACACATAATATAAATATATACACACATAAAACAATATATATATATATATATATACACACACACATACTATACATAACCAAACAATAAAAACAACAACACAAACACACATATATAAACACACACACACCACACACACATAAAAACAACACACACACACACACACACATATAAATATATAAAAAATATACACACACACACAACACACATATATATATATACACAACAAAAATATATAACACAAAACAACATATATATATATAATAAACACACACACACATATAAATATATACACAATACACATATATATATAAACACAACACACACACAAATATATATAACACAAAACACACCACATATATATATAAAACAACACACATAAATATAAATATACAACACACACACACACACACACACACACAACACACACATAATATATACACACACACACAACACAATATATATACACACAAACAAATATATATATATATTATATATATACAACAAACACACATATATATATATATATACACACACACACACATAAATATACACACACACACACACATATATATATACACAACACACACACATACATAAATACACACACACACACATACATATATATACACAACACACACACAAAAAACATACATATATATACACACACACATATATATAAATCACACATACATATACACACACACACACATATATATATACACACACACACACACATATAATATATATATACACACACACACAAAATATATATATAACAATTACACAAAAAAATATATATATACACACACACACACACAAATATATATACACACACACACACACATATATATATATATACACCACACACACACACACATATAACACACACACAAACACACACACATATATATATATATTACCATATATACACACACACCTCAGCATAAATGATAATGTACAACCCCAACAGATATGTCAGAAAACCTTTCCTTTCCTTTCAGAAAAATATATTACACACAAACACATATATATAACACACACACACATATATATATACACAATCACACACACAACATACACTATACAATATATCATAAAATACAATAACACACACATACTATATATATATACACACACACACACACACACACACACATACAATGGCCGAAAAAATTGTTGGCACCATGATAAACTCCAGGAAATCATGTATTTCTCACGAAACGTATTGCATTAACACATGTTTTTTATACACATGTTTATTCCCCATGTTAAAAACCCCAAATGACAAAACAAAAAAAAAGGGAAAAAAGAAAGCAAATTCGACAATAATGTCACACAAAACTCCAAAAATGGGCTGGACAAAAGTATTGGCAACACCTTTCACAACTGCGGTTAAAAAATAAGAATGTTAACAAGCATGTGATGCTCCTGTAAAAATCT